AAATATACTCTAAACAAATCAGAAAAGACCTGAAGCAGTGGGATAAGAAGGGGAAAGAGAGAAAAAAGAAAAACAAAAAAAAGAAAAAGATAAAGATAAAAACAAAAACAAACAAAACAAAACAACAACAACAACAAAAAAAACCAGAATGTGATCAAATATGATCAGGCTGGTATATAGATCAGTGCCACACACTAGATTTGGGGTGTATTTTGGTCTTTTAGAAGAAAGTGCCTCCCAAAATTTTAAAGAAAGAAAAACTTATATATGTACAAAAATAAGGGTTGATATGATGAAGGGATGGAATATGACTGTAAAAATGGAAATTATAAAAAATTTTATAAAAGGAATTGATAAGAAGTTTTTTGAAAAAAGAAAGAAGAGGATTTAAAAAAAGAAAAAAGAAAAAGAAAAAAAAAACGGGAGAGGATGTGATCAGGCAGGGGAACAGAAAACACCATATACTAGAGATTTAGGGTGTATTTTAATCTGTTAGAAGAAACTATCTCAAAATTTTAAAGAGAGAACAACTTATATATATAAGCCAAAAATATGGGTAACTACTATGAACGGATAGAATATGACTCTAAAAATGAAAAATAAAAAAATTTTTTTTTTAAAAAAAGGGATTGATAAGATGTTGGTTGAAAAAGGGAAAAAGAAAAATTCAAAAAGAAATAAAAAGACAAAAAGACAGTTAAAAAAAAATTAACTTTAAAAGACTAAAGAATCATGGTAAAAAAGCTGTGAATTCTATGTGCAGTAGTCCCCTAGCGCTGGAGTTCTGCCGTTCTCATTGATCAATAAACTTGGTCTTGGCTGGCTGTTCTCGCTGATCTTCTGGGGAGGGGCCTGTTGCCATGGTTTCCAAATGTCTCTGCTGGAGTTGGAATTGCCCCGCCCTTGCCCCCTCCCGGCTAAGTAATCTGCTCGGGTTTGCTCTCCGGAGCTTTTGTTCCCTGTGAGCTTTACATACAGCTTTGGAGGCGGAGAGTGAAAATGGCGGCCTCCCAATCTACACCCTGGAGGAGCCGAGAACTCGGGCCCCGCTCCTCAGTGAGCCCCCAGAGAAAAGCCGTCAGTCACTCCCGTCTCCCCGGTCTCCGGCCGCACTCCGTGCTCACCCGGCCTGCGACCGCGTGCCTCTATCTCTGGCACCCGACCCCGCGTGGAGCCTCCAAACCCAGCAGATCCCTGCAGTGCACTCCCACGCGGCTCCTCCCGGGGGATGAAGGTGAGTCTCCCCGGATCTGCCGCTTGTTGGGTCCCTGCTGGGGGAGCAGTGGCCCGACTATGCCGCAGATCACGGTTTATGGCAACCCTGACCTGAGAGCCCGACTCTGGGCTCCGCCTCTGCAGCTGGCTTCCCTGCTCGGTTACCTGGGAGCTTGCCACACTCAGGCACCCCTGGACTTTCTGTGACCCCGAGGGTCCTGAGACCACACTGTCCCAGAGGGTTCCACCCCCCCGCTTAGCCACCAGACGGTTTTTTTTAACCGTCCCTCGGCGGAGCAGACTTCTAAATTTCCGATTTTGTGCTCCGTGGTTCTATCACTTGCCAGAAGCGGCCGACGGAGGCCCCTCCCCCGCCGTCTATCCTCCCGAATAACGCCTCGGATTCACTTCTCCGCACGTCCTACCTTCCAGAAAGTGGTCGCTTTTCTCATGAGAGAGTTGTTGCTCTTCTTTTCTTCGATCTCCTGTTGAGTTTGTAGGTGTTCAGAATGGTTTGATCCTTATCCAGCTGAGTTCCTGAGAGGAGACGAAATCCAGATCTCCTACTCCTCCGCCATCTTGCTCCGCCTCCCCATAAAGTACCTTTTAACAGCTACTAAAACTAATGTTCCTAAGAACACACTTTAGAAAACTCTGCTATATATCAATTTATGTGATTTTTCAGATCAAGAACTAAGATTTTTCCTTGATAAATAAGTATGTGCATATAGAACACTGTGCTCACCCAGTTCTTCTTGCACCTCTCCGATCACACTTTCTCTAACTTATTTTCATCCTATTATTTATTAATGTTGGTACCTCCCAAAGACCAGCACTTAGAATTGTCTTTTTCCACTAAGGTCCTTTTCTCAGCAATCTTTACTCATTCTTAAAACTTCATCTGCCAGATCTATAAAAAATTTTCCCAAGTATTTATATAGCTCTGACCTCTTTCCCAAGTTTCAATTCAACATTTTTACTTTCCTACAGGACATTTCCACTCCATTTAGACTTCATCATCTGTCTCTGAACTTTGTCATATATTCTCCATTTCTATTAGCAACACCAGTATTTCCCTACTTACTTAGGTTTTGGCCTCTACCTTACCTATGACTCCTCCCATACCTTTCACTGCTGTAGATATGGCTTTCACTGCTGCTTTATGTTTAGTAGTTTAGAACATTTTATAGTGTCATCCTGAGGGTTATATGAGGTTCATTAATTGCTTATCATACAAAAGAGAAAACTGAGGCATAGAGGCATGACCAGTGACCCAGCTAGTACATGCAAGAGTTGGAATTCAAACCCAAATCTATCTGATTCTGGAATTTAGGTTCCTGAACACAGTGCTCTCTTGACTTGACATGAGGGCCACAGAAGAATTCAGTTCTTGGGGAAACTCACATGCTCAGCCATGGATTAGGCCCAAGATAAGATACTTTCTTATCATCAGGGAAATGTAAATCAAATCTGCAATGAGATATCACCTCACACCTGTCAGAATGGCTAAAATCAAAAACTCAAGAAACAAGTTTTGGAGAGAATGTGGAGATAAAAGAACCTTGTGCACTGCTGGTGGGAATGCAAACTGGTGCAGCCACTGTGGAAAATGGTATGGAGGTTCCTCAAAAAATTAAATATAGAATTACCATATGACCCACTAATTCTACTACTGGGTATTTACCCAAAGAATACAAAACAACGCTAAATCAAAAAGATATCTGCACTTCTATGTTTACTGCACCATTACTTACAATAGCCAAGATAAGGAAGCAGCCCAAGCATCCATCGATATATGAATGGATAAAGAAGATGTGGTGTATATAATTGTATCTATTACTCAGACATAAAAACGAATGAAGTCTTCCATTTGCAATGACATGGATGGAACTAGAGGGTATAATGCTGAGTGAATAAAGTCGGTTAAAGAAAGTCAAATACCATATGCTTTCACTCATATATGAAATTTAAGAAATAAACAAATGCACAAAGAAAAAAGAGACAAACCAAAAACAGACTCAACTAACTGTGGGTTAACAGAGGGGAGGTGATTTGGGGGATGAGTGAAATTGGTGATAGGGATTAGAGTACACTTATCATGATAAGCACTGGGTAACATATAGAATTGCTGAATCACTATATTGTACTCCTGAAACTAATATAACATTCTATGTTAACTATACTGGCATTCGATGTTAACTATACTAGCCTGAAAGTAAAAGATACTTTCTTGCACCAAACTGCCATTATACATAACTATATATAAAACCTACTATAACAAGTTCAATATATCAAAGATTTAGATTTACAAAACAGATCCTCAGGAGTACATTTATTTGGTTTTTAAAATAACTTTATAAAAGAAAAATATTCTCTCCCCTAGTATGAATATATTTACATTTCATTTTTATTAATTTTCACTAGAGGAGATATTCTGCATAGGTCAGGCTATACCTTTAATATTTCAGCAAGATTCTAAGTATATCATTTATGAAATTTTTCTAGAAAACCCACTTTCATTCACGACAGAGAAGTCCGAAAGTGATCACTTTGGATAGACCATGAATTCTTCTTATTATCTTAATCAGTTTTCCTTGAAATGCTACACTGTCTTTGAGTCTCATGATGTATATATATGTGAGATATACGTAGTCAATTGCTAACCCACTTTTTTCCAATGTACATATGAAAGAATAAAATTTATCCCCTAAGTTCTGATTCTATAAACCTAAGTTCATTGCAGACTGCTATGTTAGGTCATATGGTAGAAAAAAATATTTATGAATGCTTAATATCAGTGAAAACCAAAAATAAAATTCACATGTAGTTCTATTTAAAAACATATTTTGACCTAATTTATGGATAACTTTAGTAACACTTTTTTTTTTTAAAGACTTATTTATTTATTTGACAGAGAGAGACACAGCGAGAGAGGGAACACAAGCAGGGGGAGTGGGAGTGGGAGAAGCAGGCTTCCTGCAGAGCAGGGAGCCCGATGTGGGGCTCGATCCCAGCACCCTGGGATCATGACTTGAGCCGAAGGCAGACGCTTAACGACTGAGCCACACAGGCGCCCAGCAACAATTTTTTTTAAGTTAAATTCTTAACTGCTGCATTGATCTGTGAAAGTTCAGCAAGAGCAGTATTGTTGGTCTACATAGAGTTAGATATAATTTATCTATACTAGTATCTACCAAAGTATGTACCTTGAAACACTACATTATACTGTTGAAAGGTTCAGAAAACACTGTAAATTTGATTCCTCTCTTGGAGATTGGCATTGTACAAGCTCCTGGAAGTTCTGCCATTAAAAAAAATTTTTTTGCTTATTTAATCCATCATTTCTCAAGTTTATCAATATCTTGATATAATTGGGGTCATTGGAAATAAGACTGGAAAACCTTGATCTATGATGATAGGAAGGAAGGAATTATAGTAAGTAGACGGTACCAAAATCATTTGTACTGGATTCTGGAATTACGTGATTTTATCAGGTTTTTTCTAGAATGGCTGTTTTTTAAAAGGATACATTAAAAAGATAATTGTCTCTAGGCAAGGCAACTAGACTAAAAGCAAATAGAAGCATGCTGGGTACCAAGAAAAAGACATGGGATACTCAGGGTTTGCTTAGGTTTTATACAGAGTACGTTAGACACTGGTGTAAAATGAGGACTGGTCATGCATATTTAATCCTTCTCTAAGATCACCCTCTAAAGCATAAAGAAAGACAGTAAGAAAAGAACAAGTAGTTCACTTATTAAAATGCTGACATCCAGCATACTCACACTGCCCATTCAAGCTTCTCATTCTTAATAGAGTTGTACAGAGCCTGTAAAGAGAGAAAACAAGATGGAATTATTCTTTTCATTCTGTTCAATATTTTTAATTCAGCAAATGACCAAAGCCAAAAGGAATCAGCAAGTAATTCCTAAGCCCCTTGTTAGTCACCCCTGTTGGCTCTGAAAGATAAGGACAGGTGAGGCAAATAAGCATAGGGTAAGCAGCATTTTGTGAAACAGATTTTGCACAAAGTAAAAAATGGCTTTTATAAATAACACACACAACACTGTATTACATTTTACCATGTAAAATATTAGGATATGATTAAAATTAGACCATGTACTCTATTTTCCTTATTCAAAATATGGTCTTGTAGTTTCATTAGTTTGGATACTGAAGTATGCATACCTTTTTCATTGATGTAATAAATCTGTTTTCATAACATTTTAATGAGTAAGATACATATGAGGGGGACTGAACCTAGGGCATAGAAAACTATCTTAGAATAATTTCAGAGTTTCTATACCAATGATTCATGCAGTTGTTACCAGTCTAACTTCATAATTGTGCTTTACAGTTAGTGAGTGCTACCCTGGTGGGTGTGAGGTGGTGGAGGGGAAAGACAGAAAACTAGAGTTTTGGTAACAATAATGACAGTCAGCCTGATTCTGATTCTCCCAGATAAGATCCTTGTAATCAAGTTGTTCCACTATGACAACCACCCAAGAAAATGCTACTCCACATCTATGCTTTCTTAATTTTGAGTAAGATGTAAAAGAAAACACAAATGTATCTTTAAGCTATAAAACCACGACAACAAATTATACTGAAGAAAAGGATATTATAATGATGCTGGAATGTTCTTCTTCAAAGAACTTGGACCAACTCGACTCAACAAAGATTCAGTACAAATATATTTAGGTTACAGATTTTATATTACTTGAGATTTAATTCATGTATCCTTAGCCAGTATTTTCACAAACTCTGTGGGAATTTTGCAGGGTGGCTACAACAGTTTAAATACTGAATAATTATGAAGCTAATAAAAATTAGGAGGCATTTCATCATTAATAGGACATGGTAAAACGTGTCCTCAAATACAAAAACTGATAGAACATCAAATTAAAATAAGGGTTAAATGAGGCACAAAGACCATGCTATAAATTGGATGTTCTTTTGAAGGAACTCAAATTTACTGAAGAACTACAACAACCTATTGTTTAAATGTCTCATGAGACTGCACTTGTTTAGATGTGCAGAGAGAGAAGATGTCTAACTCAAGCCTCAGAGACTCTTGCTGGATAAATGCCTTTTAAATGGGTTCCATTACTTGCATGAGCATTTTGAACCCACAAGTAATAGTGAGCTGAGAAACTGCAATTGAAAAAAGATCATTAAAGGTTCTTTATATACTATCATACTCAAAATTACCTAGAGTAATTTAACAATGTAGTAAAGATAAAAAAAAGATCTATTCATAAAGGTAGATACTTGACAATGATATCTAAGCATCTAAAAATTTTCTAATATATTCAATTCTGTCCTAAAGCAAGTTTTTTCAATTTTTTTGTTTTATTTATTTATTTATTTATTTATTTATTTATTTATTTATTTATTTATTTGAGAGAGAGAGAATGAGAGACAGAGAGCATGAGAGGGAGGAGGGTCAGAGGGAGAAGCAGACTCCCTGCCGAGCAGGGAGCCTGATGCGGGACTCGATCCTGGGACTCCAGGATCATGACCTGAGCCGAAGGCAGTCGCTTAACCAACTGAGCCACCCAGGCGCCCTCAAATTTTTTGTCCATGAGAATATTTTGCTTAATGAGGTACTGAGTTCCAAAATAGAAAATTCTTGTTCAGATGCATATCATGCAACAAAAATCTTTTATAAAGTATTCTGTAAAATTCAACAAACTTGTCATATTGTAGTCCTCTCCCAGTGTATATATTATAACATGACAAATCTAAAAAGTGGATGTTATGCTTATCCTTTTCCAATTGCAAAATTACAAAGGGATTTGCTTGAATCTTTCTGGTGCTTTATAATGACACACTATTTTTCTTAAAAAAAGGAAAATATGCTTTGCAAATGCATCTAACACTTATATATCCTTCATCACAACTTCCTATCCTTTTATGTATTAGCTTAGTTAAGAATTGATTCCTCTTTAGCCCCACAGTCCTCCCTTCCATTCTCGTGCAACCTAGACCCCATGCTCTATCACATCAACCAGTCTTGTTATTATTAATATCTTCAACTTCTTTGTCCTACTGCCTCTCTATTGTACCTAAAAAAGAAACATTGAAACTCTTGACCAAGCCTACTCTGACTTCTCCAATTTATACCCCCTATATTAGTTAAGGTTTCTTTAGTTTCAAATACAAATACCTAAACTCTAGCTACCTTATGCATAAGGGGGACCTAATTGTATATGTAATAGTTTATGTAGCCAAATCATAAAAAGACATGGATAGGGCTGGTCTCAGGGACACAGGCATTTAAAACTCTCCTACTGTCCTCTCAACTATTCTCTTTCCACCCCAAACATCTCCACTCCTTGTTTTTTTACTACACAAGAAACATGTCTACAACAAGCAACACCCATTTACATCTTTTATGTCTTTCAACAAGAAAAAACTGTTCTTTCTCCTAACTCCAATTTGAAAAGATTCTAATTGGTGTGGTTTAGATCACCTGTCCTCCCCATGGACTAATCCATGTGGCTGGAAGACGAAATATAATGACTGGGCCCAGCCCTGAAGTCAAGGAGGTTGGGGTATATATTAAAGAAGGGGTAGCACTGACCTAGCTAGCCAATAGTGTAATCCTCCTGAGCTTCACAGCCTCCCCTATTTGTATGTGACTAATTCAGCACTAATGGTGAAAATTGAACAAGAACACAAATCAATGCCATTGAATATTCATCATCTCAAACTTCAGGAGAGGCTTATTCATGAGCCTCCTTTAACTCTTTGCCATCTTCCTTAAAATGTATCTGCAATGGCATCTATTTTTTCTGCCTTTCTGATGGTAAGGGAAGGGATATCCCACCTCTACTAGGCTAAACCTCTAAAACTGGTCCTGATACCTTCCCTTTCTGTGGTAACATCTCCTCCTTTACTAGTGCCTTTCTATTAGCTTTCTATTAGCTTTCAAACATGTGCAAGTCTCTCTAAACCCCACTTCTGCACCCTTTGTTCCTCAGCCGCTATTTTAGCTAAATTTCTGAGATAAGTTTCTGCAATTCACATCTCCACTTAATGTCTTCTCTTCAAATCAGGCAATCTTGCTTTTATTCCTGTTCCTCCATTAAAAACTGATCACAATAAATGCATCTGATTCTTTCATGCTAAATTCAAGCCACTTTTCAGTGTTCCTGAATCACTTTGCCTGTCAGCAGCATTGAATACTCTCAAATATTCTCTTCCTTATTTTCTGTGACACAGTACAGTCTCCTGAATTTTCTCATAACTTTCTCATAATTTCTCATAACTCTTTGGATAATCCCCATTACTCACATCTTCCTCATCTTATCACTTAAATGTAGGTGAGCCTAAGTTTGTGTGAACTCTTGTGAACACTGGATCCATATGTCAGATGCACTTGGATGTTTCCAAATATTACAAACTCAGTAAAGAGGAACTAAGGCATGAAGACCTAAAAGTGAAAATGTACCCTCAAACTTAGTAAACTTAGTATAAAGTATTTAATTTTTTGAGTGTGGAAACACTATACATAAAGCCCAAGTAAAGGCAGTTTACAGTAATATAAAATATATCCAAGTCAGAATCCTAGGACTGTCAGAATTTTTCTATCAACTATTTCATCCACAATACTATTATATTCCTATCATACAAGCAGGAAAGTTCCAAGTTAAAATCATATTTGTATCTGCCTGCTAATGGCATAGGGACAAATCTTTTAGTAATCATGTTTTCGGGATGAATTGTAAAAACTCTCTAATTCCCACTCAAGAAACAACAAAATGGAATTTCACAGCTGACAGGGGCCTGAGAAATCATAAAACAAATTCTTCCTTCTATAGGTTAAAGAAAATGAAGTCATATGTTAATTAACTTCTCTCAAGGTCCAATAGCTGTTTTTCACAAGCTCTGACTCAGAAATCACATTTTTCAGAAATCAATTGACTATATTCATTCAACTAAATACATTCTCTTTTATCAACTAACTAAAACTAACTACATTGTCTCCTCCTAAGACCAAACTTTACAGCACTGTAAATGCCTGGCTTGTCAAGACCCATGTGAAAAGGTAAAAAGGCTTGTGCCTCTCTTAGAATACATTCAATAATGGTGGTCATTGTAATTCTAAAGGATGAGCTTTCAACAAAAGTCACTGTTGCTAGGACACAGGCTTCAAATGCCTTTGTTGGTGACCATGACTGGTTTGCCACACTGATCCTATAGTCTCAGTCCACTTACAACTAAAGGTATCTGTCATATAAATGGCTGAAACTGGAGATGTAGTCTATAGCTCAGGAAAATAATTTATCCATAGCTATGTAAGGGGTTATTTGACCTAGCTCCAAGAGAGCAAGGTTTGTGAGCAAACACTGTCATGAAAGGCTGTTATATCACAGTGGCCACAAATTGATAGTTGGGGATAAATCAACCTTAATGGGTCACAGTAACCCATATATACATTATATGCAGTAAGGTAATAACCAGTTATGGTGGGCTAAATAATGGACCCTCAGATGATGTCCAGGTCCTAATCCCTGGAACCTGTAAACATTTCTGTATATAGCAAAAAGACTGCAAATGTGATTAAGTTAATGATCTTGAGATGGGGAGGGTATCTGGGCTGGGTGGTGTCCATAGAGGATGGAAGGCGGAGATTTAAGAAAGACAGAAGAAGAGAAGGCAATGTGAAGATGGACACAGAAATTGGATACAGACACAAGTGAAGGAATGCCAGCAACCACCATAAGTTGGGAGAGGCAGAGATTCTCTCCTAGACACTCCAAAGGGAGTGCAGCATGTTGACAACTTGATTTCAGACTTCTGGCCTCCAAAATTAGAAGATAT